AGCACGCAGTTCCAGGCGAAGAGCGGCTCTTCGTACGGCGGCGTGAGGCTGCCGAGGTGCTCCTCGATGGCGGTCGCATTCTCGCCGTAAAGCTCGAGCGCCGACAAGACCTGCTTGGAGTGCTGGTGAGACTCGACGCCGAAGGTGATGATGGAGGCGAACGAGAAGGCGAGGATGAGCAGCGCAAACATCAGCGCGTTGCCGGACGACGTCGGCGAGGCGAGGAACCGGTAGAGCCGGTCGCGGCTCGAGACGCACCCGGCCGCTCTCCGCTCCTGAATGTACGTCTCGACCTTCCAGTTTGTGAGGACGCGCAGCGCCGGCACGGCGCGCTGATTCAGCCGCAGCACCCACTGGAAGTTTAGCCGACCGTGTCGGCGGCGCGACGGCTCTGAAAGGACGATGCTGGCTGTGCTGGGCGCGTTCGCAGATCTGCTCTCCAACGGCTCGGCAGCGCCCTGCTGCTGCTGCCGCTGCTGCTGTATCGACTCGGCCATCTCCTGCGGATCGAGCTCGGGGAAGAGGGCGTGCGCAAACTCGTGGTACCTGGCATGCATCGACAACACTCACTCGTGGTAGCTGCAGGAAGACACCGGCGGGGAGAGGAGAGGGCGGCGGACAAGAGAGCGCAGACTCGAGGCCAGACCGCCGCATCTCGGCTGTACCTCGGCTGTACCTCGGCTGTGCCTCGGCTGTACCTCGCCTGTACCTCGGCTGTACCTCGGCTGTACCTCGGCTGTGCCTCGGCTGTACCTCGGCTGTATATCGGCTGTACCTCGGCTGTACCTCGGCAGTACCTCGGCAGCATCTCGGCTGTATCTCGTGGCACCGGATCGAGTCGGACTCGTCGTGTTCAAACTGCCGCCAGACGGAGCGCAGCTTGCGCCCCTCGAGGTTGATTCCCATCCCCGTCGTCACCGCCTGCTTGAACTCTGGGTACGAGCAAATGCCTAGTCAAAGAAAGTGCCTGCTCAAAAGGCAGCGGCCAGCCAAACCTCGGGGCAGGCGCAGCTGCCGTCGCGGTCCGAGTCAAAGTCCTCAAACGCCTGCAGCACGTCGTGCAGGCTGCGCCCCCGCCACAGCAGCCTCAGCTTGATCTCCTCGGCGATCAGGGCGAGCTCACGCGCCTACAGCACGACTCAGTGCGCCGATGCATGACTCGCCAGTGACGCAGCAGCGGCCTCCTCGACTCGAGGGGGAGGGGGGGGGGGGGGGGGGGAAAGGGGGGAAAGAAAGGGAAATAAAAAGGCGGCCCCCCCCTCCCAGGGGCGGGAAAAATTTTTGCCCACAATGGGGAGGGGGATCCCCATTACCGTTAGCCCGGGGATAATCCCCAACCTTTTGGGGGCGTGTTGCGGCTCGGATTCAACCCTCGGCCCCGAAAAAAAGAGCCCCGAGAGGTCGTCACAAACCCCCTTAGGATCCTGCCCCCCGCGGGCTGCGGGGAGAAGCCTCCCTACCCCACGGGGGCCATCGTGACCAGGATGAGGTACCCGGCGGGGGGGATGTCCAGGACCCCAGGGCCCCCCCCC